GATTCGTTTTGGGTTTCTTGGGGGGAGGGGAAGATGCAGAAAAAAGGGCAGTTACCTCTTCAGGAAGAATACAAATGGTCCAAGTTGTATAGTATTTGTCAGTATTTTTTTTTCTGGAAAATTCAAACAAACCAAGAGAAGAACTTATTTAAATAAAATACTTTGAAAATGAAAAGCCATGCCTGGCCTCCTTACTTATGGAATCAGAGAGTTATTTTCTTGACGCTGGAGACTACCGTCTCCCAGACATCACTCAGAATGATGGATGCAATGACTTCCTCTGGGACACCAAACGCCCAGCCATCCCCAGGCACTGCCTTCCCCGGCAGAGTCAGAGGTCCAAGGACCAGGGATGAACTCTCGCACCGCTACCTGCAGAGCAGACACCTCAAAGACTAGGCACCCTCAGAGGTGCCAGGTGCAGAAAAACACACTGATGTTCCTTGGCAACACTTAGAGAACGTTCCCATCAGTGAGGTCAATCAATATCCTCTTAAAGGAAAAAGGGGAAAATAGCAAAGACTAAGTAAAAACAGACTTCTGAGTTAAATATGGTGCTGGAAACGGGAGAGACCAAATGCTTCTATAGTAGCTGCAAGGGAGACAGACAGATAAATAGAGGAGAGTAGGTGGACGACATAGAAATAGAGACAGACAGACACACACGTGTACGAGTGTATAAATGTATATCTTTTTCAAGTCGGCCATCGCTTTGCATTGGTTAAGAAATGTAATGAGTTAGATGCTCCTGATTCCTCCCTTGATGATGCTAAGCTGTCATTAAAGCAGAAACTATCTAGAGCAGTGCTGTCCAATAGAACTAGGAATGATGGAAATCTTCCTACCCCGTCCAATATGGTACCATTAGCCATATATGGCTATTTAAATTAATTAAAATTAAATAAAGTTAAAGGTCCAGTAGCTGAGTTACACCAGCCACATTTCACTTGCTCAACAACCACACACGGTTGGTGGCTACCACCCTGGAGAACATGGGCCGAGAAGCTTGTGGGGGGAGGGGTCAAACACGCTGGCAAAGCACCATGTTTACTGCACTTCAAGCACCTAGGCAGCCCCGAGCCTCATCTCTTCCGAGGCAGGCTGATTATTCCTGTTGCTGTACTTGATCCCTGGGCTCCCTTCCCCATCACCACACATCCCATGAGCAACTGAGGACAGAGACCCTTCACTCAGCTCTCTGATCCTTCCTCCAGGACTTCTAAAACTTTCCACCCTGGAGGAAGGAACGTTGCCCAGACAGCATCTGGGGGAGAGGTAGCTGCTGCACACCTGAGCGGATGCCAGAGCCCAGTGCCATCAGCTCCACCTGCCCAGGCTCAGCCCTGACCTTGGGGGTGTGAATGTAAATCTGGACAATGCTATGAGCATTCTCAACTCACCAGAACCCTCTGCGCTGACCTCTTGCCCTTTGCCTTTAGTATTATTCCCAGATTCAAAGTCACACGATTACAAGATTGAAGAGTCCCTTTAACACAGCTTGCAGTCTCTGCCATAGGTTCAAAGGGACGTTTTCAAATACCTGCGATACTTCATTCAGGAACAGCCATGCACGCAGGTATCTATCTAACTCCCTCTTGAGACTACTTATTCCATTAACATTTTTTTTAATAAATTTATTTATTTATTTTTGGCTGCGTTGGGTCTTCACTGCTGCGCGTGGGCTTTCTCTAGTTGCAGAGAGTGGGGGCTTCTCTTCGTTGTGGTGCGTGGGCTTCTCACTGCGGTGGATTCTCTTGTTGCAGAGCACGGGCTCTAGGCACACGGGCTTCAGTAGTTGTGGCTCATGGGCTCAGTAGTTGTGGCTCGTGGGCTCAGTTGTTGTGGCTTGCGGGCTCTAGAGCGCAGGCTCAGTAGTTGTGGCACACGGGCTTAGTTGCTCCGCTGCATGTGGGATCTTCCCGGACCAGGGATCGAACCCACGTCCCCTGCATTGGCAGGCGGATTCTCAACCACTGCGCCACCAGGAAAGTCCCCCCTTTAACATTTTTGATTCTAGTATGTGCCAAGCACATCGGGTGGCAGCAATATAAAGTCATCTGGGGGGGCTCACAGCCTGGCTGTGGGAACAGACAAGCAAAGAGACCATTATAGTACGGTATGGTCACTGCTTCCAAAGAGGGAAGTTTCAAAGCTGGAGTCAGGGCAGGCTGTGGGGAGACGGGGAGCGTCACTCAGAAGCTGTCCCCCAGAAGGGAGCTGCAGAGGAGGCCACTGGGAAAGGAGGGCACCATTTGCATCTGCATACAACCTGACAGTGCAGCCTGGTGAGGACCACTGTAAGTATGGGAAGCTAGGGCTGGAGTTGTCCAGACTCTGAGGCTAACTCCAACTCCCGCTGTTGTGTAATTCAGGCCCAGGACTTAATGTCCGTGAAGAATTCATGACAGTACCTATCTCACAGGGATGAGAGGATTAAATGAGACAATGCATACAAGCATTCAGCACAGGGCCTGGCTTACTATAAGTGCTCAGTAAATGTGCATTATTATTAAGGACAGAAGGAAGATCATGAGAGAGTTGTGTCCTCGAAGTCAAAGGAGAAGAAACTTTCAAGAAGAAAGCCAGAGTCTGGAGAGGCAGATGGTGCAGACAGGCCAAATGAGATAGGGACTGAAAATAATGTACATCTTCTATTCCCACTGATGTAATACGTCCCTTAATTTCACCACACACTGCACTGTCCACAGTATTATTAATACTCTTTGAATTAAGGGCTCCCAATTTACAGTATGTGACAGGTGAACTTCTTAAGTAGCTATCCCGCCTCACCTCAAGCCACCCTAGGGTGACAGTGCCTTCTGGTGGCCAGATCAGGAGAGTCTGAGTCAACATCTTTTTCACCTTACAACAGTGTTTGCCTTAGAACATCAATCCAGCTACGTCACAGGTCCTCAAACTCAATGTGCTAAAGACTCACTGGGTTTTATGTGATAGTCACAAACCTGTCAGGGTCAACGACGCCATGCTCATTTGCTAGATAAGGGATTTTCATAACCCTAACTCTTAGTTGCTGTTAAAACATATTTCTGGTGAAGTATTCCAGATTTTACATCACTGCCTAGGAACGCTTCCCTAAGTACACAAGTTTTCCCATCACAACAAGATCAGACTGTATGGCAACCATGTTCCTGTGTTCCCAGCGCTCTAGCCCATTCTCACCCGCATTAGAATTAGCCATTATGAGGCCAGAATTCTGTCTTATTCAGCACTGTATCTCCAGTTCCTAGCGTGGAGCCTGGTGCATACTATATGCTAAATAAATGCACTGATTAGGGGGAATAAAGAAAGAGAATCACTGGGTGTTTCTCACAAGTGCAGAGACCCAGTCCCTCTCTGTCCTTCTGCTGGATTTATTACATCTTGGATGAGACCAGACAAGCTGCTCTTCTAACAAGAACTCTAGGTAAATGACAGTGGTCTCTGAACCATACCTCGACAAATATTGATATTATCTAGATATTCAGAAACCAAAAGCATTCTATCGTCAAATAAGTTTGTAAAGCACTGCATACCATGACTTTCCCACTCCTCCTTGGAATGTGCAATGCAGGTATCACGTTAAAGGTTCTAATGGGTACTGGAATAAGGAAATGGTGTAACTCCGCTGAACTCAGCTTTCCCAAGCTTATTTGACCACGTAACCTCTTCTTTTAGCACCTCTGGGGGAGCAAGGGTTCCAAGGAACACCGTCTGGGAAATGCTGCCGTGGAGAGTTTGTGTACCCCCATGCTTCATCTGTTCGTCTTTTACTGCTAACACCTCAATTCATATCATCCCCAAGGAAACGCCTTTCGAAATGTAGAGATTTTCCTTTACCTTTACAAACCTTTCTTTCTCACTCTGCGCTTTCTCTTTCTTCGGTGAGCCATAACAATCCTATTGGTGGTTATTCATAGCAAATATACCTTAGAGCTAGCTAGGGATACACCTCTATCAAGGAAAAAAATATATATATCCAAAAGCTCTGAGAGAAGTTATGGAGACTAAAGATGCAAGGCCTCTATCTTACCATTCCAGAGCGCTTCTACCTCATAGTTATAGGCACTTTCAATACCTCATTTGACTCTTGCAGCAACTGACGCAGTGAGTAAATCAGGGACTAACGTCATCCCCATTTTATAAAGGAAGAAAGTGAGGCCCAGAAAGGTAAGCAACTCACGCAAACCTGGAAACCTGAAGACCAAAGTCTTCAGACTCCTGTCCTAGTGCCCCTTGTGCACACAGGGCATCATGATCCAGGCCATTCTGCTGGTCTGGCCTCCTCAGAGACTGTTAACTTGCAGAAGCACCTCCTTTGGGTCAGAAACTTATAGAATCCCCTAATGGGCTCTGCCCACAAGCCTTCAGACACCCAACTGTCTCCTTCAGATGTTCCACCGTGTAGCATGAGCCCTGACAGTTCTGTTTTTTCTTTTTTGTAATCCAAGTGCCTGATTTAAGCTTTGATTGCAGGGGCATCCATTTCAAAGAGGCACCCACTTCAAAGACCACTATGCAGGATAAACACACTGCCAGCCACACAGATGGACAAGGACCCAGGCCACCTCCCACACTGCGGCTCCTTTGTTTTAGAGATTCCGGTTGATTTCAATAACTAACCATTTGGGCCTCTTGATTTTTTTTCTTCTTTTCCTGCACTTGAAATTCCCACTCCTATGTTTTAAATTCACCAGTGAAGAGCGAGCCCTCGAAATCCTAGGCCCCCACTGCAGACTCCAATAAAAGGAGAACCCTAGGCGCGCTCTCTCTCCAGCTCATTTTCTCTCTCTCTCCCTCCCACACACAACCTCACAATGTGGCCTCCTGTGTGCCGTGTAATTTCCGGGTCTTGCAAGTAATAAACCTTTATTTTTCAAAGGTTCCTGACGGCTATTGCTGAAGGGTATCTTACAATTATAATAAGGACTCAAGGGCCAGTCCAACCAAAACATTGGGTATTGATAGGCTGAGACCAGCCCAGAACACAGAGACAGCCTTACCTGCTTCCTGTCCTTCTCTAATCAAGCCTGATTTTCTTCACCTGCCAAAATAAAGAACTGGTTTCACTCCACCGCTCTTTTACTTAAATTGCAATACTACAATACCTTTGTTTTCTATTTCTGTCATTATAAGTGCACTGCAATTTATCTGCATTATAGAATGAACAGGCTTTTCGGGGCTAGCCTGAGAACCTAACTTCTTTATATACCATTGGCGGCGGAACTCAACCCATTTCCCCGTAGCAACATCCAACCAACAGAAGGACTTTGGAAGTGGATTCACTTGCACTTTAGGAACTGCCTAAAACCCCTTCCAGGGGTGCCCCCCCATCCCCTTGCCGGACCACCAGCCCAGTGGGCCAGGTCGGGGGACAGAGTACCCGTCTCACGAGGCAGTCTCTTCAAAGTGTTTCCCAGTTACCTGTTTTGTGCAGCAGCACTGCCTGCGCAACCACCAAGCACTGGCTGGACGCTGAGACGTACCCCAGAGGCTGACTCTCCAGGTCATTCTACCCAGGAAGGAAGGAACGTGAAGACCCCCAGAACTTCCCTTTCTGGAGGAGAGGAAAGTGGCGCTGAGGCTAGAGGCTCCCGGTAGGACCACACTGCCATCTGCTGGCCCGGCCGCGTACAGCGCACCCCGCTGCGCGGGGAGGCTGCCCTCAAACGTTATTGATTGATCCGCGCTCTTCATTGACAGAAAACACCTTCCCCGATCCTCTCCACCGCCCTGGAGAAAGGCTTAAGGGAACGACTTGGAAATTCTTTTAGCGGAAGACTTCCTCCAGTAAATGACTACGTTTCACCGAGAGCATTTCATTATTTATAATTGTTTTTCCACTGCCATGCTGTACCCGCATTGACACTCCACTCTGTCCACAGCCTGTCTCTCTTCACACACCATACCTGGTCCTTTTCTTTCATGTCATCCCTTTGATCACAGTTCCTTGGGTCATTTTTTTTTCTTTCTCCCTTCAGCATTTCCTAGCTTGAAGGATCCTTGAATCCCTAAGAATTCCAAGTTAAAAAGTAGAAATTCTGGGCCTCCCTGGTGGCTCAGTGGTTGAGAGTCCACCTGCCGATGCAGGGGACACGGGTTCGTGCCCCGGTCCGGGAAGATCCCACTATGCCGTGGAGTGGCTGGGCCTGTGAGCCATGGCCGCTGAGCCTGCACGTCCGGAGCCTGTGCTCCGCAACGGGAGAGGCCACAACAGTGAGAGGCCCGCGTACAGCAAAAAAAAAAAAAAAAAGGAAGAATTCCTTTTTTTTTTTTTTTTGGCCGCAGGGCTTGTGTGGGGGGTATCGACCAGGGATTGAACCCAAGCCCTCAGCAGTGAAAGTGCAGAGGCCTAACCATGGGACCACCAGGGAACTCCCAAAAGTAGAACTCTTGACATCATGTGACAAACATAAAAGTTGGGACCCTCTTCCCAGAGGAAGCTGCTGTCAAGAACAACCAGCCCTAAACTCTGCATGAAAGGATCCCTCCCCTCCCTTTACCACCCACCTCCCTCAAATCCTGTTAATCCTTCCTCCGAAATATTATTTAATCTATGCTCTTCTTCCCTTTCCCACAATTTCTGCCACAGGCCAAGGAAGTCAGTACCTATTGCCTATTGCAGTAACCCTTAACTTGTCTGTGAATCTCCACTCTTTCCCTAAAAAAGCCCTCCACGCCTCCCCCTATTCTCTATGCTGTCACCAGACTGATGTTTCCAAAATACAAGCCTCACTACAAGTGTCACTCCAAGGTTTAAACACCCCTGAGTGTTCTCCACTGCCCCCCCTTTTCATCTCAGCCATGGTTCTCAGCCCCAGTTGCATGTTAGAAGCCCCTGGAGCCTTAAAAAACTCAGAGGCAGGGCTTCCCTTGTGGCGCAGTGGTCGAGAGTCCGCCTGCCGATGCAGGGGACACGGGTTCGTGCCCCGGTCCGGGAAGATCCCACATGCCGTGGAGCAGCTGGGCCCGTGAGCCATGGCCGCTGAACCTGCGCGTCCGGAGCCTGTGCTCCGCAACGGGAGAGGCCGCGGCAGTGAGAGGCCCGCGTACCGCAAAAAAAAAAACCAAAAAATACTCAGAGGCACAGGACTCAGCTGAGACCCACTGAAGCGGTGTCTCTGGAGGTGAAGTAGGATCAGGCTGGTAACAGCTCCAGCTGATTGTGCTAAACAGTGCAACCTGAGACCACAGTGCTTACTTACATGGCCGAGACCAGTCCCTGCCCATCTCTCCAGCAAGGTTCCCCACCAGCCACTCCTCACCCCACCTAGAAACCATCTTCTTCCCTCAAACACACCACACGCCACCCTTTTTCATCCTTGCCATCAAGTGTCCTCCTCCCAAGGTGCCCTGCCTCCCCCAGGTCTCTCGTTTCTCCCCTGGCAAACTCAGAGTCCCCCTTCCGGACGCAATGCTGACACCACGCCCACAGTGCTTTCTAGGGCACCCCGCTCTGCTCACAGCATTCTCCCCGTCGCAGTGCCCACTGTCGTGGTCTGTCCCCATGGTCATCCCCACCACACTGCGAGCAGGGGCTGTGTTCTGCTCATCGAGGCTTTGCTAGTATCTTGCGTGCAACAGGCAATGGCTCGGAGACTTTATCAACTGCTTGTGATACTTCTGTCCTCGCTTTTACCCTAGTGCCTGGCTGTGCCATCTGTCCCTTCTATGACAGCTTTTGTTTTCTTTGGTTCGTCCTATCCGGTAGGAATTGTCCCTTAAGCTTCAAAACCCTGATGGCTCATAACCTGGCTCTAAGAAATGTGTCGGACCCTTGAAAAAGCAGGTCTATCCAGAAATCTATTCTGGGGCCTATATTCAGCTACCAGAGCAGGAGTTGCCAGAGCTGGTCATGTTAAAATGAGGTCAGGCACAGAGATTTAGGTCTGGAATGTTCTCCTCAGTCAGACAAACATCCTTTGAGAATGAGCTTCCCACCTCCTGCACTTTCTTCTTTGCCCCAGTGGAATCCTTGAAGGGTCAACTGAGGTTTTCTCTGTCCTGTCCCTTCAGGGCAGCAAGGACCCTACGGGCAAAAGAATGCAAGAACCAGCTCCCATTTCCCACAAGCCCTCTTCTTGGCCAGCGGTGGGAAAACACCAGGGTTGGTGAACACGGACGGGGCTGTGCTGCTGCCACCATCACAGACGCCTCCTGAGCAAACAGGCCATCAGAGGGTGCCCCCTGCGCCACCAGAGCTACTCAGAGAGCGGTCACCCATCCAACAGCAGCCCTGGCCCAGAGCTGCTGAGTCAGAAGGGCTGCGGCCCAGCAATGCTGCCCCACCAGGCACATGTGACAAGTGCAGTTAAATTTGGGAAGCACCACCCACGATGCACCCGACCCCACCCCCGCTCTGAATCATTCCAGGGTTTGATCCACTTTGCAAAGGAGGCTTTTCTTTTCTAAAGAGGCTGCACCCACTGGGATGAGCACAGGGCTCCCGAGCCACCAAGGTGAGAACTTCGTGTGCAAACGGGAGACCAGAGGCCTCGGAACTGAGAAGCTGTGAAAGGGAGCTTTAAAACGGACAAGGAAATTAGCTCAGCCTCCAGCCCTGAGGAAGTTGGATCAAACTAAAGACATCTGGCCAGTCTCTGCAAATATCTACTCCTCAGAGAGGCCCGTGGAGTCCCCCACTTCTGCCACCAATCTCCCCCTCCATCTCTTAATCCTACTATAATTTTCTTCCATGGCACTCATCACTTCTGGGAATTGTACGTGTATCTGTTTTTTATTGTCAGTCTCCACAAGTAGAATATAAGCACAAGAGCAGGAATCTTGTGTTTGGTTCACTTCTATAGCAGCAGGGCACAGAGTAGAGCCCAGCACAGAATACGGCTTAATCAATATTTGTTGAATGAATGAGTTAATGAGTGGATGAATGACAGCACACATAATCCAGTAGTGCAAGGACCACGTCTGGCTTGCTTACCTCTGTGAGCTCACCACTGGCTCCCCGGTGCCAGAACACTGCCTGATAAGCAGGCAGACACTTAAATTCTCCTTGAATTGATGAGAGAGGTGCAAGCACGTTTTTAAACCACTAGCCCCAACACTGACACTGTACTTCATCCAGACCACACTTTATCAGACCGAGAAGTTAACCAGGGCATTGCTCAGTGCATGTGTATAGGGAGCCAAGGGGATGCTGAAAATTTTAAAGGTTGACAAACACTGTTTCGGAAGTATGGCTTGGCATTCGGACAGAGGTTAAAACCTGGAGAACCCAAGGCAATAAACGACTCCAGCACCCTCGAGGAGGACCGCAGCTTTTAGGGCACTTGTCTTCCTCCCCACTCACCCACTTCCTGGTTCCAAATACCATTATTGGCCATCACACCAGTCAGAGGCCAACCAAACTCCATTATAATGCACAGATGGTACCTTTGCTTGCACTTAGGTTAAATTTAGAATTCAAGTGTACTTATGTGGGGAAAACAACACAAGGCAAATGTTTTTTAATCAAGTGGTTTATTTTTTTTTCTCGAATAGGAACTTAAGTTTGTTCAATGGTCACTGACTTTGCCACAGAAAAACCTTCCAAAGTGATAGGAAAATAAGCCAAAAGGATCTGACCTTGCCAAGTGTCCACTCAAACAATAAGCCTCTGGTGCTGAGCACTTTCAGTAAACCCAGGGGTCCGACAGGGCGGGGTGGGGTAGGGGGAGGGCAGGGGCAGGAGGGAGAGAGGAGGGAAGCTGAGGACTTGACAGTACGAAAGGGAGTCACAGGAAAGGGTCTTTGGGAGGAACCAATTACCAAGAGAGTCAAATTATTTAAAGTTGAAATAAGTGAGAATTTATTCACAACATATGCAGATCTACAAGAGTGATAATGCAGGTGGCCGGAAAGGGGGCACTTAAAAATAACAGTGACATGGAAGCTGGGGTTTCCAGCATGCCGGATACTGGTCAGAACACAGCAAAATTCAAATCCCTCTTGGTCCCTTTTGGTTCCCTTTATTCTTCCTCATAACATCAGCAATTATTTTTAAAAGGGGAAGATTTATGTCTTTTTCCTCAAAAAAGATTTTACCAATTTTCCAGTGGTAATGGAAGGTAAGTTTCAGGCTACCTCAGCCCCTTGTCGTCAAACCCCCCTTTGGTGTTTCTTTTTAGACAGAAGATTTGTATTAGCAGAGCCCTGAATATATATATATACCAATTTCCAGAGATTTCCAGTTGAAGAAGTACTAGGTGATTCTTTATCCGCCGCCCCTTTTTTTTTTTGCCCTAATCCCGTATGTTTGTTACTGAAGATAGAGCAGAAAACCTTGCAGTTCCAGTGCTGTCTCGCCCATACACATTGTGCAGCTATTTTTGTGTTGATTTTCAGGCCCACAATACAGGTGGGCAAAATGCACGTGACAAGGAAGTGAGCTATATGGTTGGAAGCTTGGTGACATGCTTTGTCCTGCAGGTTATCGAGGCATCTCAGAAGCCAAGGGCTATGAGCACCCCTCAGACTTCCATTAGCCAGTCATTAGTACCCACCCCACCCCATGCTTACACAGGCCCCAACCCCGGGCTGGTCTCCTCTTCTGCAATAAGTGCATGAATGGGCCGTCAGAATGTTCTCGAATTTTCTCCCAGTGTTTCCTTCTTTCTGCCCAGGACATACTCCCCGCTGTAGCCATGAGGGCGGATCTTCAACTCCACAAAAGGAATGGAGAATTCATGTCCTTTCCATGGCTCCCAGTTCACCCCCTACATTAAATAAATAAGTAAATAAAATAAATAAATAAATAAAACAAATAAATAGGGCTTCCCTGGTGGCGCAGTGGTTGGGAGTCCGCCTGCCGATGCAAGGGACGCGGGTTCGTGCCCCGGTCCGGGTGGATCCCCGTGAGCCATGGCCGCTGAGCCTGCGCGTCCGGAGCGTGTGCTCCATAACGGGAGAGGGCCACAACAGTGAGAAGCCCGCGTACCGCAAAAAATAAATAAATAAATAAATAAGCCAACATCAAGAAGAGGCACCTGGGAGAGGGTGGGGTGGATTATGGTACCAAAGAATGTTTCTTTGCCAGGGAAACTACTCCCTCTCTGCTTAGGGGAGAGACTAGGGTATTTATAAAGGCAGTGAGACAGGAATCTAGAAGCGTGCTCCCTCTGCTGGGCAGCTGAGGTTAGACAGGCTGACAATTTGGAAGTCCCCTGTGGTTGGAGGATGGGGGGTGTGAGCCCAGGAGGCGGGTGAGGCCAGAGCAGCAGCAAAGGTAACGCGGGGTCAACCTGGCCAGCAATGATCGAATTATCTTTGCCTCACTTTTCCTTTACAAAAAATTAAAGGCAACAGTAAACATATTAATTGGCCAATTGTGGAAAATCATTTTCAGTTTAGACTGTTTAGATATTAGCTCTGGGGTAATAAATAGTCTGCTGAAAACTAAATCTCATTTTACGACTTTTGAAGGGTGAGCACAATAATATTTAATTCGCTTAATAACCTTGCAACCTGGCCAATAAAGAGCCCAAGTGACCAATTTTATGTATTTTAATTTGTGAGGTAAATAATAAACAAGAAGCTAAATGCCTTGCAAACTGTGAAAAGCACATTAAGCAGATGAATGTCTTTTATTAGCAAATATGGGGATGGTTTAGGGCATGCTGGCTGCTCATTTCAAATATTTGATCTCTGGTCACAGGCTTCCCTGAGTCAGCCCACATGCTGCCACCATGATTCACGGGCACACCCTCCATGGCTCCCCTGGGGACAAATTTCTTCTTCCCTTTGAAAAATCACATAAGGATTGGGAGTCCCTGCTGCCTGGTTAGGACCAAAGGAATCAAAATGTACCTAGACTTCAGATGTACTAATATTTACAGTCATATTGGTACACTATGTATGAGTTCTGGGGAGAGGTGGCTTCCTGAAGGCTAGGATCAAGATCTAGGATGGGAAATGAGAAACCCAGGAAGGGGAGAGTTCATGGAGGGGATGGATTCATGATGGGTAGGAACAAAGATGCAATTTTTAAGAAGCTGTGAGGGAGCAGGCAGGAGATGCCTGGAAGCTGGCGAGGAATCACTACGATGTTCCCGGGGCAAGAGGATTCAAGAAATCACTGATTGGAAAGTTGCAGAGCAAGGGAGCGGGGGAGGAGCCCTCGCCAGCTCCTGGCCCTGTGTGCACACTCCTGAACTGGAGAAACCAGTTAGCACAACGCTCTGGGCAGACTTTGGGTGGCTCTGGATGAAGTGGATCCAAGGGTGGGTCTGACATAAGACAGAAAACTTTGTTTTCCCCGTGATCAAAGGACTGAGAAAAATAGCTCTGGTTTAACTGGATGAACGACTAGAAAGAATTCTGAAGTGTCTGTTACGGATAAAATGTTTGTGCCCCTCCCCCGCCAAATTGCATATGTTGAAGCCCCGACCCCACAACATGACGGTATTTGGAGATAGCGCGTTTGGGAGGTAATTAGGGTTAGATGATGTCATGAGGGTAGGTCAACCATGGTGGGATCAGTGCCCTTATAAGAAGAGAAGGACAGACCAGAGCTCTCTCTCTCTCTCTCTCCACACTATGTGAGGATGCTGTGAAAAGGTGGCCATCCACAAGCCAGAAAGAGCTCTCATCAGGAACTGAATCTGCTGGGAACTTGATCTTGGACTTCCCAGCCTCCAGAGCCATGAGAAATAAATGTCTGCTGTCTAAGCCATGCCGGCTATATTATTTTGTTACAGCAGCTTGAGCTGACCAAGACAGTGTCCATGTGTGAACTCGTAAAGTGAGATGGTGTGGGACCCATATCATCTCTATTAAGTGGTGGGCAGCCTGAGTACCTCCCTGCACTGAGTAAGGGTACAGCATTGGTGGGAATGTAGAGTGGGGAGGGGCTGCAGCAGATGGGCAGGGAGGGCCTTGACCTCAAGGCCATGGAGCCTGGAGAAGAAGTCTTACTGCCCTGACTGCTGGCATCAGAAGGAGAGGGTCAGCCAAACCAGTCTGGAGGGTGTCACTCTAGGAACACAATATGGGAAAAGCCTGGGACAAAAAAGATGTTCACCTGTCACCTACCTCACTATGCTTGGTCTCCCCGTATCTGCCATTAGGGTTGGCCAAGTGGCAGTTCTTGTACCACCAGCCGCCATGATGCGTCAGGGCACAGTTGCTGAGGGCGATATCATTGTCTCTGTCAAAGGTTGTAAACTTCCATCCATTGTGGTAAGTAAGAGCGTCCCCTGCAGGAGAGAAGACATGAGAGGGGAGAGCCCAAGTTTCATCCCTGAGGGCGTGATCAAACTCTGGCCTGAAAGAGGACTGGGGGCAGGAAAACCTCCAAGCATGAAAACGCCAGGGATCCAGTCCGTTAGGCCACAAGGAGCCACTCTTTTCTCAAAATCGCCAAGATGAGAACACGGTAAGGATGAACAGATTCTCTTTCCGGGCTTGTCACCCAAACTTCAGGCCTGTTTCTCCAATAGCTTTAAAAGCATTTTCACTTAGAGGCTTCACAGTAAAACATCCAAACACCCAAAACCAAACTCCTCGACGCTCCCCATAGTACCTGACCACCCTCACACAACTAACCCCCTTTCTGTGCTCCTGTCTCTGCTTGAGCATCCTCCCAGTCACCCAGACTGGGTCCCCCCGAGCCACATCTGACAATCCTGTGTACCCCATTATCAAGCCCTTCCTTCTGCAGATCACTCCTATACACCCCTGCACCCACGGCTGCCACCCTGGGCTGTTCTCGTCTCTCTCCAGGCCTGTGTTAACACAACAGCTTTCCTAGCTCTTCCGAAGCTTAAGCGTCCACTTTCATCATCTCAGGCCTACGTCCTCCCACGTGGAGTGAATTCCTCCTCCTGGCTTTTCAGGCCTGTAACTTGGCTGTACCCTTTGCACAATCTCACAGCCCACTAGCCGCACAGGCGCCCTCCACGTGTGAAGTGGACGCATCCATCTTCCATGCCTCTGCTCACCTGTTTCTCTCTGCCCTTCATCATTCCAAAGCCTCACCATTCCTCAAAGCCCAGCTCAACCCCACTCCTGAGGAAGATTCTCCTTATTAATCCTCCCACACACACACCTGAACTTCTAGGGACCTTCTGGGCACATAGGTACAATTAAGTGCTTCGTTAATCCTATCTAGAAATCTGCCTTAATTATTTTACTTGTATTCTACTATTTCCCCATCACATTTGTCATCCTTTTATAAGTTTACTTTTTAATTCAGCTCATAAAATGCAATAAGGGCTCATATCAATCCCAAGCGTAATCAAGTTCTGTTCCTACAATAACAATACTTCCATTTAATCTGATCTCTGAGTTACCCATCACCTTCACATATACATTCTCATTTGATGCCCACAGCAAGCCTGAGGGGTGGGTCAGGCAGCTCTTAATCCCATAAGGAAACAAACTCACAGAGGTTAGACTCTAGGAATTTGTCACGGTCCCACAGTCCACAAGCAGCAGAGCCAGGACTCAAATCTCCGACCTGAGACTCCAAGCCCAGAGTTCCTTCTGAGACACCGATCCACAGGAAGCTTCCTTATTTCAACAGCAGGCATTGATTATGCCTAACAAGGACGAGCTGTCTCTGACCATCTACAGCAGTGGTTCTCAACGTGGACCCTGACCTGCCAGCAGCTGCAGCACCTGGAACTTGTTAGAAAGGCCCAGCCCCAGGTCCACCCCAGACACACAAAGCCGGAAACTCCACCGTCATACCCTGCAGTCTGTGCTTTAACAAGCCCTTCAGATGCCAGCTAAAGATTGAGAGCTTTTGTCCTGCAACCTCATTCATTCATTCAGAAAAAAATATATGTATATAATACACACACACACTGCTATGCAAGAACGGCAGCCACACTGCTGAAGCCGAATGAGTGGTGGGCAGACGCCATGAAACCTCTCAGAATGTGGGTTCATCGGCTAATGTACAACAGCCCGAATTGGGGGAGTACAAGAGGAGGGATTTTACTGGCGGGGGATCAGTGTGTAATGTACAGAAGTTCCAATTTTATGACAGTCAAAGACTGCTTCACAGCACAGGGAGATCAGCTCGGTGCTTTGTGACCGCCTGGAGGGGTGGGGTAGGGAGGGTGGGAGGGAGGGAGACGCAAGAGGGAAGAGATATGGGAACGTATGTATATGTATAACTGATTCACTTTGTTATAAAGCAAAAACTAACACACCATTGTAAAGCAATTATACTCCAATAAAGATGTTAAAAAAATAAAATAAAATAAATAAAGAAGGGTGAAAAAAATAAAATAAAAATGTATAATGTGTTTAAAAAAAAAAAAAGACTGCTTCAATGATTCTGTTTAATCCCCTGCGGGGAGTGGGGCCTCACTTGTCAGTGAGGACAATTCACCTCCACAGAACAATATTCTGTCCCCCCGAGACCCATGGCAGGTGGCCAACCAATCCTCAGACACACAGAGCAGGAGACCCCAGCAGGAAGGACACGTTTTGTCTTACCTGCTGTGCCTCTGTATTTCCCAACTGTCAGCCTGTACCGCTCCTTGCTGGAGGCTACTCGGAAGGAGTCATATATGGCATAGGCAGATTCGTTGGCAGTCTGTAAGTCCACTCTCACCTCATAGCGGGTGGGCGTGCCTGTGGTGAGGTTGTGTAGCTTGTCGAGTCCTAAGAATCAGGAATGGAATTCCGGTAACCAATCAACCGGTGTGTGAGCACCCACCAGTGGCATCGGAGACTTTCACCCCGCAAAGCTGCCTTAGCCTTTACCTCCTCTGCTAATGGGGGCCTTCCCTACACCATCTCTTCTGGGGGGCTCATTTTCTCATCCCATTATGTCTTTGGCACAGTCATGCTTCTGAGTGTGGAAACCACATCCTCTGGGAGGGAGCGGAGGGGTTAATTGTGGGATGAATCTGCCCCCACTGACTCCTTCTCTCTCAAGCAGAAGCTGTTCTATTTATCATCCTTGGTCTCAACAAGCGGGAGAGGAGATCACCTACTGACTCTAAGGTCACCGAAGGGACTTTTGTACCAAGCAAACCACAAACATCATCTACTCTATCAGACGCTGAGTATCCAGATTACGATTTTTTAATTCTTCATTTCCCAATTGATGCTTTTGGCTATTTCATTCTCTACGAACATCTGCTCCAGAATAGAGCAGACGTAAAAGGGAAAAAACAACAATGCCATAATGACTGGCATTACTAGCAGAACGTCAGGGACTCGTATGACCTCCCAGTGAGAGCCCAGAGTCCCGATCAATCAACTATTTTTCTCCTCCTGTGGTTTCTGAAAAGTTCAGGCTGCAGGCAGCTTGTGCGGGCCTTAGATGCAGCATAAAGCCCACCCACCTGTGACAGTCCCACCCTCTCACACGCCCAGAGCACATGAGAACCTTCCCAGCGACACGGCCACACCAACGCCCTGGTCGGCAGGTTCCTCAGAGAGTCCCTGTGGCTCGGAGCTCTTCCTGAACGTGGTGAGCTTCCGCAAGCTGCCTGACCAGCTTTTCAGAGGGGAGTCTCCTGTTTGCACCTCAGCCTTTATGCATGCTTAAAGGTCATACCAAGCCAGAACTCTCTCATGGGGTCCCCGAAGCCTTCCACGTAGGTCCGCCAGCGCTTGAAGAAATCCAGCTGCCCAGTGTTCCGCCTCTGGAAGACCTGAAGAGGGAGATGGACGTTTCCCTCTGACATACCTGAACAGACGTGGCTGAGTGACAGAGGGCAGCACAGTGGACTGGGGCTGCCCTGAGGATGGACAGAGGGGACAGAAGGGAAAACTGACAGACGTGGTGATGGACTGGAAGTGGAGCTGAGAGAAAGGAGAATGTCAAGACTGCCTCTCGTGGTTTGGGCACTCAGCCGATCGCTGGGAAAGGGGCTGTGAGAGAGGACAGTTTCTGCTAGTGCCGCAGAGCTCATCTGGGGACCTGGTAAGTGTGAGTGACTTCTGAGGTATCCTGGTGAACAAAGATGCCATAGGAACCACTGAATGTAAGGGCTAGAGTTCTCAGGAGAGAGCCAGGCTGGACTTAGAAGGTGTACCTGTGTATCTGAGACAGTGCTGGGTGCTCAGCAAGTCCCCTTTCACTCTCCTCACCCCCTGAACACAGGGAGACTTTCTTTTTCAGCCTTTCTTGCAGCTAAGCTGGAACCATATGACTTGTTCCAACCACAGGACTGTAAACAGGAGCATAGCTCATGGGCTGGGGGTCTCCACACTCTCTCTTCCATTGCCCTGGGCCATGGTGCCACGGTGAAGGCCACATGATGACAGGGCAGGGCCACAAGCTGTGATCAGCCTGAATTCCTGAGTCACCACTGAGAAGTGACTTTGCACACGTGAGAAAAAACCTTTTATGGGTTAAATAATTGAAATTTGGGGTTGGTTTGCTACTGTAGCATAGCCCATTCTATCCTAACTAACATGGAAAGCCACCAGGACGTAGAGAGGAAGATGAAGCCGCTGGAAGGATGAGACCACCTGGGAAGAAAACAGGAACTGAAAAGAGAAAGTGGCCTAGAATGAAGCCTTGCAGACCCCGAGATATAAGAGCCACACACAGCAGGATAAGTTCATTAAGGCGAAAGGGGAGCAACTAGTGACGTGAAGGACAACTGGGAAAATGCGGAACCAGAAAGGCCGCTGGAGAAAGGTGTGCCCAATAGTATCAAATGCTGGTGAGAAGTCAGGGAGCACGAGGTCCAAACTGTCCACAGAATCTGGTGACACAGAATCGCCAGTGGCTTGAGCAAAGGCTGTGCTAGTGAGCGACAAGAGCAGAAGGCAAACCGGACGGGGCTGAAGAGTGAGTGAGAAGGGACAACGTGGAAACAGAGGTGCGACTGTTTCATGAGAGTACAGGCTGCTTTCTTTTCAAAACTTCCTCTATCTGAGGAAGGGAGGCAGTTCCAGTCAGAGTACATTGGATTCTTTTCTATGAAGTAAACCTAAAAAGTGCCTAAAAGCTAAACACACCTATGTATGCTAATTCCTCCTGGCCTTGAGGGCCACGCTAGACACCATCCTAGCTGACTTCACAAATGAGTCTGGAACTCCCCAAGGCTGGAGTGGCATCTTCCTCTCCGCCTCCTTTCCTTCGTGTTCATTCAAAAGCAGACGCCCAACACAAAATCCAATCCCGCCCCCCTTTCCACCATGCTTCACACCACGTGCCTTGAAGTCGAGCACTTTATCTTGAATCTGATGAGGTAGACCTCCTGATACTTGAGCATTCTTGACACTTTTCTCTGGGAAGAGACGGGGAAGGAGGAGAGGGCAGCTTGCCCACAACAATGCCGAGAGCTCCGAGTGGGAGCTCACCGCCAGCTCCCTGTCTGCTGGCCCAGGAGGCACTGAACGAAGACGGCAATGGGTGGGAGTCCTGGCAGGGCGTTGGTGAGTCCATCATTTCTATTCCTGAGCCTCAGTCAGCTTGTTGTCCAACAGGTTAGAAGCGGGAAGGAGGTGTCTACCTCAGAGGTGCTGGGAGGACTCGTGAGACAGGACATGTGAAAAGGATACAGAGCCTCTGAGCAGAACTTAGGGATCGTCATGGCGAACAACGACCCACTGCACTAACACTGCTTTTCCCTTTCCCATCTTTTCACGTGTCCGTCTTTTAGAGATGTCCCCTTCCTTTACTGGCTTCCTTCGTTTCTTTTTTCACTTATTCACTTGCGTAACAATCACTTGTTGAGCATTTGTTAAGGGCTGACTCCAGGGCAAGAATATACAATGCCATTTTACAGATGTGAAAGTTCAGAGAAGCAAACAGCCAGAGTTACACAACTAACTATTCAGTGGCTGATGCAAAGATAAAACACTGCCTCCTCATCTTTCCATGAGAAAGCCTGAAAAAACCAGCTCTACTGACCCTGTTGTTCAAAAAGCATGTCGTAAGATTCTGAGGCTAACTGTTAATTTCCTAGCACCTGGGACTACTCCTGTATCACCGACACTGGAATCCTAGGGCAGATGTGGGCGCCAATGTTTGGTTCCACACACCTTGCATCAAATTCTGTTCCCACTGATATAATTAGTTATACTATAAGGTCAGGCTCAAATTTGATCCTGTCCTCCTGGCATTTGGTCTCTATCTCTAATCAATGAACACAGTGCCCAAGCATTTTTTAATTTGTTTTTTTCTTTGTTTGTTTTACTAATGCTTCAGCTTGGCTAGGGAAACTCCAAAAACATGGTTCTGATGCTCTTGGCATCACTGTTTAGACCCAGCTCTGTACTTACTAGCGGTGTCCTTGGGCAAGTTAGTTAACCTTGACAAGCCTCACTTCTCTAAACTATTAGATCAAGATGTTAATAGCCCATTTGCCATTCTTTTAAATCAAGGCTTCAGCAAGGTCATCAATCATGATAAATCATAAAGTATAGGGGCCAGAGTCTGGCACATACATACAGATATAATAAGTGATTATTAGATCTCAATACATGTTAGCTTGCATTTTATGATATCAGGTTCCAAATGAACTGACCCACGGGGATCATTTGTACATCTTGATCAGTCAGCCTTAACTGACTCAATCAGAATCTAGTCTATTCCCTTCTATGAGGTGAAAATACCTTATAATGAACTATCTGGGGTAACAAAAGCCCCTTAGCAAGTAAGTCTCAAAGGAGAAAAAAATCTCTTTCTGCCTGGTTCTACACAACAGAGCTTCACTGCACTCTAGAACTTACTCACAGTCCTGAATGCCTAAACCAAGAGGAAAAAATGAAAATCTCATTTAAATGCCTGTGGACAGAGCCTCTCGTGTAGTCCTTAGGACTTGCAAGATGGAAAACAAAGACGGAAATATTTGAGACACTTAAGTGTTCCCTGAGGGTCTTCATTCCAGCCTCCCACCCATAGCCTCAGTTAACTCACGGCAGAGTCCTGGCCTGTTAATCAAATTGGGTTTCTGCTGCCTGGGATGGAGAAGAATCTCCTTAAAGGGATTTGAGAAGCTCAATTTAGAAGAGCAATGTATTCATAAGATGATCATCTTTCAATGACAGCAGACTCCTGAACCCCCCAAAACATGGAAACCGTCAGTAAAAGATTTGGTAGAGAAGTTTTCAGGACTCCGTATATTTTCTGGAGTGTGGTAGCTTTGAGGAGAACCCTATAGAATTTCAGTTCATATATTATCTTCAGGAGTCTGGGTGAGAAAACAAGACTTGGGAGGGGGTGGGGGACTGGCATTGTTTAGAACCCAGAGTGAATCTGTTATTTCTAGAACTGACGTCTGTGTTCCGGTAAAGGTCACTTGCATGGGCAAGATGTAGAAGGCAAGATCCTTGAGGTCAGGGACTTTTGTCTGTTTGGTTCACTGCTGGTTCTTGAGTATGTAAAACAGTACTTGACACATAGTAGGCACTCAATAAATATCTGTGGAAAAATCATGGTTACTCCCAGGCAGACAGACTAGCAGGTCTCTTTCGAAAGCTTGCTCTAGACACACATCTCCTGCCCTGTGCGAGGCTGGCTTTCAAAAAGGTCGCACTGGACAGTACAAACATCCTGCCAATGGGCATCTATGGGCACAAACACAGGGAACTGGCTTCAAGCCTGAAGGGACAGAATGCTTAGAGCTACAATGGTGCTGATGAGAAGCAGCAGGTACAGCCCTGTGAGTCTGGTCAGGTGGAAGGCCTCCCATGTTACATTCTGTTCCATTATTTTTTATAAATCAATCAGGAATTTCCCCCATCCAATCCCATTACTGCCTTTCAGCCATCAGATGCAGCTGTGTGGATAATAAGTTTTCTTCTTTGCTGCTTATTAGATGGTATCATTTTATGAGTGGCTGTTCAAGTGTCTTTGGTTTTGCAGGCCCCTGAGCGAATGTGTAAATGAACATAGTTGGAGCTCTATGAGATCATGCTTTCTCCTCCCCACAGTGAGTGGTGGAAGCACAGTGGGTAGGACTGCAGGCTGGTCTGGAGCAGTGAGAGCCTCTCTCTGTTCGGGTACAGGAAGAAGGGGGTGGGGGAGATGGAAAGATCAGATTGAAACTCTCAAAAGCAGCTCATCATATAATTGGATCAGGCAGATGCAATCAAAGAAGGTACCATGTGGTTTACTGGTCCACAGAGAGTAAAACCTCCACACGGAAGAGGGACAGTCAGAACATTGCCAAGTTTCCTTCTCTCAGGTTTTAGCCTTTCGTATCAAAGTTCCAAAGGCCTTGCTTCTGTACTGTGGAGCCAGGATACAGAACTTGGACAACGGCTCCAATTCAGAGGACTGAGCCCACAAAGAGGCCATGTGTTTCCATCTTGGATGGCCTGAGATGACCCACTGGGAAGACCAATGACCCAGGAGGCTGGAGTCCTAAAATCTGGTCCCAACTTTGTTATTAACTCATGTGATTTAGCCAAGGCACTTCTCCTCTTGGGCTTCAATTTACCTATAAAATATGAACAATAATCTCTCTCACTTACTCTATAGCTTATGTGTGAGGGTCATGTTTATGAGAGTGCTTTGCACAGAGTAAAATATAGGTTAACACATGTGTAAAGGGCATTAGTAGACAGTGATAAACCCACAAGCCTTCCCAGTCATCAGCCTTAGTTTACAAAGCCTGCTCTACCCCAGGAGTGAAGTACTTCGGGCTCTATTCTGCCAGTGGGGTGGGATCTCTTTAAAAACAGCAGCAAGCCACCAAAGCTCCTCCCTCCCATGTATGAAGAAGAAATAGAGCTTCCTGGCCTGAGAAACAAGACACAGCCCAGGGCTCCGTGTGACTCACGATCCAGCCGCCTCCGTCCGTGTCCATGTCGCAGTACACCTGCAGGGGCCGACTGGCATCCCCGTGCAGGTAGACGGTGTAGAGACCACTGGCGACGTTGCTATTCTGCTGAACTTGACTGCAGTCCGAAGGGTGTGGAAAACGGGCACCAACTGGGAGCCAAGCAGAGGGACAGTGTCGTTAGGAGAAGGGCGAGGGAGGAGGGGAGTGGGGCTTGTCCCCTATTTTAACATTATTATGTTTAGAAATTAGTTTGGAACCTCCTACTACTTTGCTTCTTCCAACTCTTCACTCACATCTTTTTTTTCTCACTCATTCTGCTCTCATCAAACCCTCCAAATGTATTAGAAATAAGGTCAAGTTCACATCATTTCCTCCTCCTCCGACCCAACTCCTCTCTCACCAAATAACACTATTTCACTCCCCTCCTTCGTCTCTCTACCATGGGATGGATTTCTTTGGAACTCATGACCCCCCTTCCATTTCCCCCTGTCTAGAGAAATCCAGAATCCTGTAGCCACTTGCTCTTCCTTGGACACCTCTTCTGGCCTCTCCAATGCTTGTCCTCCACTGCATTCTTATGCAGAGTGCACGAGCTCACGTTACCTGTGGAAAGGGTGGTGGATACACTCCTGCTCCGGCGATCACCCTTAAAGGCAACCAAGGAGACAGGGAGGGTGACACCCTGCTCAAGGCCTTGCAACTCAAACCTCTGGTCCCCTCTTCCAGGCTGCACCTCCTACCAAACAAAGGAGACAGTAGACATTCATTTATCGCCCCCAGCACCCTAGGTGTCAATAGTATTCCCTGGTGCTAATGACAGAAGCTACCTGGGAGGGTAGAGTTTTGTCTCTTCGAGGGCTCATTGGCAAGCCAGAATCCAAGTAGGTTCTAGCTGCTTCTCTGAAGGGCTGTGCCATGGAGATTCAGCACTTCTGGGAGCTCTAGCTGGAAACCAGCACCTGGCACTGCCACTGGGAGAGCACCCACTAGGTGTCCTGGCGACCTCTGCCCCCCAAATACATGCTGGGGCACCAACCTCAGCCACCACTGGAAGAAACAGGCTGGCAACACCAGGCTGAGAAGTTAATGGGAAGGTGAAGCAGGCTATGGTTATCTGTGAGGCAGGGAGATAGTTGGTTTTTCAATAACCTTTCTTCTGAAACTGTCTTACTTGCTCTATAAACATAGGGTGAACTTTCCTGGCAGGACTGTCATAAGCGTTAACTGAGATAATGAATAAATCAAGGGGCCCTTCCTTTTCTCCTTCCTCTCTTCTTTTTTCCTTGTGAAGGAGAGAGAATAATAACTTCCCACTTGGACAAGTTACGAAAATGTGCTGGACTTCAGATTCCAGACGGGAGGTATAATTCTTGAAATAAGGGTTAATCAATTCATTCAATAAATATTTTTCGAACACCAACCAAGTGCTAAGTTCCAAGCACTTCAGATACAAGGATAGTCAAAACAGACAAAAATTCCCTGTCCTCATGGTGCTAACATTTATTGGGGAAGACAGACATTAAACCAAATAACATGGAGCAGATTGTGTGGCCAGCAGATATGTGACGGTCAGCTAGGAAGGAGCAGGCACAAAGGTTAGTCCTATGAAATGAGACCACACGGGACTTCCCTGGTGGCGCAGTGGTTAAGAATCCGCCTGCCAATGCGGGTTCGAGCTCTGGTCCACAAAGATCCCACATGCCGCGGAGCAACTAAGCCCATGAGCCACAACTACTGAGCCTGCGCTCTAGAGCCCGCAAGCCACAACTACTGAAGACCGCGCACCTAGAACCCGTGCTCCACAACAAGAGAAGACACCGCAATGAGAAGCCCGTGCACTGCAACAAAGAGTAGCCCCCGCTCGCCACAACTAGAGAAAGCCCGAGCGCAGCAACAAAGACCCAACGCAGCCCAAAATAAACAAATAAATAAATTTATTTTTTAAAAAATGAGACCACACATAAATTGTTCACAGATGACCAAGTTTAGCATTGTCCCTTGCACATAGGTGGTGATCAATAAGGATCAACGTGTTCATCGGCAGGTTGCCATGGGGCCACCTATCAAGCTGGCTGGCCCAAGTGAGTTGCTTCACAGGGAGGCTGGGCAGGGGCAGAAGAGAAAAGACAAGGAGCATCCAGTACCTTGACAGTGCCATCTGGGAATTGGTAGGTCAGAATATAGCCATCGATCTGAGCAGAGGGGGATGTCCAGGTCAATACCCCACCAGACTGTGTTACAGCAGACGGATGAAGGTTTTGGGGAGGGTCAATGTCTGTATATAAAACACCAAGTAATTATTATTACTAAGGTAATGAGAAAAGGTAATTTTTGAGGTGTTGGCTTATGTTTTCTCCCTATATATTCTCCCATTTTTCTTCCTCCCATCAAGCAGGTAGCAGGCTCCATTCTTCCTTGCCACAAGGCCTTTAGGATCCGTGTTTCTAAAAGTATAAACCCACCGAGGACAAGAGGATTAAGGAACAGGGAGTTGGGTGAGTCCCAGAGGGAGTGAACCTGGGCTCCCACCTCCCCAGCAGATCTCCAGAGAGCAGTGGGTATGAGCAATCTCAATCAGCAGACAGATTCCCTGAGATCGCAGGGCTCCCAAAGTGGCAAGGAAGGATGAGGGAAGGCAGATCTGGAAGGTCCCTGCACACAGAGGCACTCAGCAAACAGCTACCCAGAAGGATGACCGAAATACTGGATGGGACTCCCTGGCCTTGGAAAACCACCCAAGACCTTACATACAGCCCTGGGGAAGGAGCGTGACCCTAAATTTCCTGAGATTTCCAACTAACCAGCAGAATGGGAGCTTATGATGGAAATTAAGTTGGTATAGAAATATAAAGTTTGGGGAATTCCCTGGCAGTCCAGTGGTTAGAAGTCCATGCTTCCACAGAAGGGGTCCCAGGTTTGATCCCTGGTCAGGGAACTAAGATCCCACAGCCCCATGGTGGCATAGCCAAAAAAAAAAAGAAAAGAAATATTAAGTTCTATGTCTTATATAACTAAGTATGCAGTCTAAGATGCATACCCTGTACAGAATGGGGAAGCGGGGGAGGTGCTTGTATAAAGGAGGAGAGAAAGGAAGAAAGGGTAGTAGAGGTGTAGGAAAACCAGAGATTTCTTCTGGCTCCTATGCACTTTCCCACTCAAACACCAGAGGGAAAGTGTGGGCGTGTGTGTGCACTGTAGACCAGGAAAACTAAATATCAGCAAAAATTCTAGTCAACACCACAATAATTGGTCAGATTCTTTTAACCAAACAAGATATGAATGGAAATTTCCATTTTGAAAAATCATTATCATAGGAGGTGATTTTAATTTAGAAGTTTCCAAAAAAGATGTCTCCAAGCTATTTTCTACCCAGTAGCATTTCAGCTGAGAACTGAATTGCAGTATTTTAATAGAAATCAGGCAGCTATCGCTTTGAATTAGGATATTTTGACAAATTTTGAGCTTCTGTAACATCAGCTTAGTGTGACTTTCTAAAACATAACATCTGGTATGGATTTTCTTCCATCCATCACACGGAAAAACTGAATTTCCTGCTTTCAAAATCAAAGCAAAACCTTAACTATTTAAATATCTCAAGTTGGCTTCTGCCACCTCTTTGACTGCCCACCCATCCCTGGGTTATGAACTTCAGATGTCGTCTTAGTTATTTCCACATTTCTGCAAAGTAGAAAGAGGAAATATTTTTGTCTTTAAAAATGGGGAAAGTGAAGCAAAGAGAAGATGAAGAAGGAAGAGTGGAAAGAAGGAATAAAGGAAAGAAGAAGAGACAGGAAGACAGAGAGAGAGGGGAAGGAGGAAGGGAGGGAAGGGGAGGGGAGAAGGAAGGAGGAAGGTGCTGGTTGCCTCGGGAGAGCGGCACTGGGTGTCAGCACTGGGATGTGGACAAGAGGTTTTCTTTCTACATATCTTTGTTTAGTTTGAAAAATTTTACTATCAGCATGTATTACTTTTTTGATTAAAAACCCACGCATGGCGTACTCGGCCACACAGGGGACGGCCCAGGCCTTGCCCAGACTGTCTAAAGAGGCCCACGGATGTCAGGGTGGGCTCAGTGATCCCGTCAGGTCCCTCTGAGGCCTGATCGTGGTGATGCTCGGCGACACCAGGGGCCTCATCACGCACAGAAAAGACAAGCAGTCCAGGCCCCATTGGTCGCCAACTGTAGTAAGGGGATGAAGATGCTCCACCACTGCCCCCAGTCTGGAGATGGAAGCAGAAGAGGCTCCTTGCCTCCCTCCTCCCTAAACTGAGGCCCAGCCAGGTTCTCATAGCCAGGGCAGAGAGCCTGGGAGCTTGGCTGGGTGAGGCGGGGTAGGAAGGGAGGCTACCTTTTGCGCAGCCATCTTGAAGAGTCACACAGTCTTACTTTCACACCACTTCCTCTACACTCTTTCATCTTCATCTGAACTGTCCTGTCAACATACATTACCTTAAAAAGGTGAAAAGGGAAGCACGTTGAAGAATGCCCACAGGTGAAACACTGTGTTCCCTGCTCCGCTCCCCAGCCGATGTGGAGGAAGACTGTTTCCTGATAGGAGTGAAGAGTTTGATGCCCCCCGTCGTCCCTGACCGTACCTGTCGGGGCTGTGGTGTCGGCCTTCCTGCTCTCCCGGTCCCCCTTCTGGGCCCACACGTGCACCATGTACTCCACGCCCGGCCTCAGGCCCGTCAGGACGGCGCTGCTCTGCTCCTTCCCCACCGGAACCTCCCCGGAGTCTCCTTCAGCAGAGGTGTAGCGCACCAGGTACCTGTCAATCACGGCCTGCACCGGGTCCCAGGAGACGGTGGCCATGTTCTCTGTCACATGGTCGGTCACCAGGTTTTTGGGGCTGTCAATGTCTGAAAGGAAAAATGCTGATCAATATGCACTATTTATAGGCCACAGAGTGCGGAAGCTCACAGCCATTTTTCTTGGGGTGACACCCTTTCATGTTTTGTGGTTTTTCCATCTTGCATGCTCTAACTGCATCACGGACATATGTCTTCTCTCCCCAGGAAGACTCTGACTCCTCAAAGAGAAGGCACAGTAGACCAAAGTCTAAGCATCTATACTATTACCTCTACCAAGAGTTTAGCAAAACAAATTTCTTTTTTCATTTTATAAGCATATGTCAAAACACCCACTAGATGTAAGGCATGGGACCAGGCAGGGTGCAGGGTCCAGTTCAAGAAGACATGGTCTCTGCTCACAAGCAGCTAATATTGATAATTTTGTTTCTAGCATCATGTCAACGAAGACCTCCCATTTCACACAAGAAGGTTCTACTAGCCAGGTGCAAATGTAAGCTCCCAGAGGAAGAGGGCTGTATTCTACTCCCGCGGGGTTCCCACTGCCTAGTAAGGAAAAGGGCTCATGGAAAATGCTCAATATGTGTTGTTAAACAAATCAGCAAAATTAAAATCGAGTTTTAATATCCTTTAGCATATATAGATTCACTTGTAATGATGGTTTGCTGGCTAAATCATGGTATAGAAATATGATCATACATCTCTTTCACAATAAAATGAGAATATAACCTAGAAATTATACCTGAAAAAAACACAATATTGTAAATCAACTATACTTCGATTAAGAAAAAGAGCATAACATAGAAATTACTCTTATCCTCCAAACTAGAATTATCATATGATTCATTTACAGTAAAGTAAACCACATACAACTACTCACTCTGGTGGATAGAAAGTCTACTTTTTTGAAGTTGAATTTTGAACATGTTATGATTAATATTAATGACATTTCAATTCATTTCCTGTTTCCAATCACAAACTCAATAGGAGACCCTCAATACTGAACAAAAGATTCACACATTCAGAGGAACAGTGGCTGGACATACCATGCAGTCATAGCAGACTTGTAGCTTGGAGACTGCCAGGTGGACCTGACTTGTAAAGTTAAAGGGAAATAAGAGATGGCTTGTAGTCTATTATGAAGGAACACCATCATGCTCTTCAATAAATCATCAACTCTGCCAGTGTGCGTTCAGGAAAACAAAACATGACCAGCCGTAGGCTTAACAGGACAGGGCTTACGTTCCCGAAGAAAGATGCTCCATTACCTGTCGGGGCCGTGGTGTCGGCCTTCCTGCTCTCCCGGTCCCCCTTCTGGGCCCACACGTGCACCGTGTACTCCACGCCCGGCCTCAGGCCTGTCAGGACGGCGCTGCTCTGTTCCTTCCCCACCAGAACCTCCCCGGAGTCTCCTTCAGCAGAGGTGTAGCGCACCAGGTACCTGTCGATGACGGCCTGCACCGGGTCCCAGGAGATGGTGGCCGTGTTCTCTGTCACCCGGTCGGTCACCAGGTTTTGGGGGCTGTCAATGTCTGAAAGGAAAAGTGCACTATTAATAAGCACCAAAGAGTGAGACGATGTTTCTTGGGTGAGGTAGCCTCCGTTCTAATGGTTTTCCCATCTCCTTTGTGGATTTTCAGTTGTTTCATGGACGTAGATCTCACCACAGCTGGACTCTTGGATCCTCAAGGAGGCAGCACAGGACAGCAGAATGAGCACTAGGTCAGAGTCACAGGAGCTACAATCCAGTCCCAGCCTGAGAGGCAGAGTGGAGGAGCAGGTGGAGCCTTGGGCTGGAGCCAGGGAACTAGGCCCAGCTCTGCCATCAGCCGGCGGTGGCCCTGGACAACTCTGCTGCCTCTGGCTGGGTCTCCACTCCTCATTTGTAAAATGTGGGCCTTGCCAAACAGATTTTAAGGTACCATAATATTCCATGAATATTCCACAAATCTGACTCCATGAATCATCAGCTAACTTTGTGAACTGTAGAAATCATTCACTTCTCTGTACCTGAGGTTTCTCAACTGTAAAATGGGCATATTGATTCTTGCTCTACCCGTCTCAACAAAGTCCTCTGAGTACCAACTAAATGAGGAATATAATTCTCATTCCTTGCTGGTAGGAATGTAAAATAGTGCCACCGCTCTGGAAACAATTTGGCAGCTCCTCAAAAAGTTAAACATAGAATTACCATATGGCCCAGGATTCCACTCCAAAGTATATAGCCAGAAGAATTGAAAACATATGGCCATACAAAAATTTGTACACAAAAACTCGTAGCGTCATTATTTATAATAGCCAAAAAGTGGAAACAACCCAAATGCTCATAAACTGACAAATGGATAAACAAAATGTATTATATCCATATAATGGAATATTATTCAGCAATAAAGTGAAATATTGACACAAGCTACAACATGGATGAACCTTGAAAATATTATGCTTAGTGATGAAGCCAGTCACAAAAGGCCACATATTATATGAATCTATTTATATGAAATGTCCAGAATAAGGAAATCTCTAGAGATAGACAGTAGTAGTTTCCTAAGGCTGGGGGAAGTAGGGATGGGAAGACGGCTAATGGTATGGGGTTAGCTTCTGGGGTGATGAAAATATTCTGAATTAGACAGTGGCTATGGTTGCACCACTCTGCACGCACTAAATTACACACTTTAAGAGGGTAGATTTCATAGTGTGTAAATTACAACTCAATAAGTCTGTTCTTAAAAAATGAGGAAACAGAGATGAAAGAACTTTACAAAGTATGAACCATTACTGTATAAAAATGCAAGCTTAGGATCCTGAGAACAGAGCACACAGTACTCAAAGAGAATTTATCCACTAAGACAGCAATAACTCTTCCCTGTTCCAAAGAGATTACAGCAAAAGCCATTTTCCTAAAGTACTTAGCTCACAGATCCTAACATGTGGTTTCTTTTTATTTCTTCCCTTTCAAGAAGAAATATTTAATGATTGATCACAAAGGAAATATACAATTGGAGGAACAGTCGGTGGATAACACCAATCACCATTTACCTTCACAAGATCAAAGTGTGAGGCCAAGTATGAGCTCTTCATTATGATATAATGTGTAAAAACAGAGTGAGGGTTGGTGTGTGGTTTGACAGGAGTCTACCATCCTGCTCTTCCAGAAATCATCAATTCTGCCAGTTTTAGAACAGAAAAACAAAACTGGACGTGCCATAGACAGTATGACAGGGCTTACATTTTCAAAGAACAATGCTCCATTACCTGTTGGAGCCTTGGTGTCGGCCTTCCTGCTCTCCCGGTCCCCCTTCTGGGCCCACACGTGCACCGTGTACTCCACGCCCGGCCTCAGGCCCGTCAGAACGGCGCTGCTCTGCTCCTTCCCCACTGGAACCTCCCCGGAGTCTCCGTCAGCAGAGGTGTAGCACACCAGGTACCTGTCGATGACGGCCTGCACCGGGTCCCAGGAGATGGTGGCCGTGTTCTCTGTCACCTGGTCGGTCACCAGGTTTTGGGGGCTGTCAATTTCTTTAAGAAAATGTTTGGGAAAACCTAAGCTTTGAAGCCATGTAAGAGATACCCACCACCCCATCACTACGATTTTTATCTCCTAGAGCCCTACTGGCACAAGGCAATGGTATTCCCATCCAGAGGGCCTGGTGGGAGTCGAGGAAGAAAGTAACCCCTGGTTCTCCATCTCAAAGGACTGCTCATTACAAACTTGACATGCTTCCCTGGCTTTCAGCTCCCTAAAATGTGGGAGGAACAATGTCTTCTTAGCAACATTATGGCACATCAAAGCAATCAATTAGACATCTGCCATGACTTCAGGGTATCTAATTTATCACTTTATCAGGGGCTACTTCCCAAGCAATCATTCTGAAAGTATTATCACGAGCGTTGCAATGACCAGAGCCTATCAGTGTCTTTGCTGGGTCTGCTAAAAACACGGCCACTGCACAACTTTACTTCTGTCTTCTGCTTGATTGAGTGGTTCCATTGGCAGCTGTCAATGTCAGGGAAGCGCAGCACTTGAGATCACCACTAGAACTCACCTTCTTTTTTGATCTTTAAGATTCTCTTTGCAAAGTCTCTCAACTCAAGCCGCATCTTTTGGTACCGTGTACACCCAAATTCACACCCTCAAAATTCAATTTTAATTGACCATCTTTTTCTTATTACCTGTCGGGGCCGTGGTGTCGGCCTTCCTGCTCTCCCGGTCCCCCTTCTGGGCCCACACGTGCACCATGTACTCCACGCCCGGCCTCAGGCCCATCAGGACGGCGCTGCTCTGCTCCTTCCCCACCGGAACCTCCCCGGAGTCTCCGTCAGCAGAGGTGTAGCACACCAGATACCTGTCAATCACGGCCTGCACCGGGTCCCAGGAGATGGTGGCCGTGTTCTCTGTCACCTGGTCAGTCACCAGGTTTTGGGGGCTGTCGATTTCTTTTTAAAAAGGAAAGGCTGAATTTTAGAGCCAAGCGGGGACATCCCAACTCCTCATCGTCATTCACTTTATCTTTATTAGCAATACAATTCCATTGAAAACATTTTCCAGGGAAACAAGCCACTGGATATTAAAACAGGAAGGAATTAGATCTTCTCCAAATTTATCAACATGGAAGTTTTCTGTCCTTCTAGTTCCCACGAAAATAAAAATCTCCTGAGCAACAAGATAAGCCACCCAAATGGCGACTGAAACAACCTCTTTTGTTATCTCCATGGTATCTAGCTATTTTGTTTCACAGAATTTGAGAGCTGAGAAGTTACATCTTTCAAGCTTCTTCTCTTGTATGAAAGGGGAGGAGAAGGGAGACCCAGCGAAATGAAAAGACTCCGAGATCCAACTGTTTTCTTGTGTTAAAACCTAGACCAGTTTCCTCTGAATTTTGAGCCCTCCCACCTTCTCAAGGACTTTGTTCCCTTTCACCTACCCTCTTACCTGCAGCATCAATCTCTCCTCCTCTACCATTATTCCCAGACAGACAAGCTCTAGATCTCTCATCCCCCTGCTCAACTAACAGGCTTCTCAGGAGAACCGTCTGCATATCTCAGTTTCACTCCTCTCCTCCCATTCACTCCTCAGCTCAATGACACTTGGCATTTTCTACAGCACAGCACTACAACTGCTAGTCTAGGTCACCAACAACTCCATGTTGCCAAATCCTATGGACACTTGCCATCCTCGCGTTGCTCGACCTTTGAGCAGCATTTGTCAGAGCTGAGCCACTCCCTCTGCCTTGAAACACTCTCGGCTCTTGGCTTTCGTGACTACACACTCCCCTGGGTTTCTCCTAACCCCTAACTCCTCCTCTTCAGTCTCCTTCATCAGCAGCCTGAAAATGTCGGGGTGCCCAAGGTTTCCTCTCTTCCTCTCTCCCTACAGGTGATCTCACCCATGTCCACAGCTTTCAATCCCAGCCAGATGCTCACAGCTGCCCAGTATGTATCAACTCTGAGCCCTTGACTTGTATCTACAACAGCATATCCACCACATTGCCTAGCATGTATTAGACACTCAATAAATATTTGTGGAATCAATAAATAAGTCGCTCAATTAACCAAGGAATCTCATGAGTATCTCAAGCTCAAATGTCTAAACGTCTTAACATTCCTCCTCAAACCTATTTATCGCTCAGAAAATGATGCCCCAATCATCCATGTTACTCAAGTCAGAAACACAGGTCATACTTGGTCCTTCACTTTCTTCCTGTCCCACACCTCATCCATCAACAAATACTGTCATTTATGCCTCCCAAATATGTGCCCAGATATCCCCTTTTCTCATCCCTACTGCCATCACACTTGTCCAAGTCATCACCACCTCTCCCCCGACTTTATTAAACTTCCCCCTTCTACCCTTATCATCTCTTCCATTTATTCTCCTCTGGCGTGAATAACTGTTTAACAATGAATATCGCATCATGCCACTCTTCTTCTAATAAGTGTAGCACGCTCCCTCTTTGAAGCACCATGTGGTCTTGTATGATCTGACCCTTCTTCCTTCCCCCATCGTCTCATGCCACTCTCTCTCCCATCCTCAATGCTCCAGCAACACCAGCCTCCTTTCAGTTCTTCAACCATCTCATGCTGTTCCAGCTCAGGGCCATCACACATATTCTTCCCAAAATGGCTCGTTTTCCCCAATACACATTCTCCCCTTCCTCTGCAAGCACACTGCCCAACAGATCTCTCTGCAACGATGGGAATAGTCCATAATCTGCACTGCCCAATACAGTAGCAATTAGTCACATGTGGCTACTGACTATTGGAAATGTGGCTAGTATCACTGAGGGAATAATTTTTAAATTTTTGTTAATTAATTAAAATTTAGGGCTTCCCTGGTGGCGCAGTGGTTGAGAGTCCACCTGCCGATGCAGGGGACACGGGTTTTTGCCCTGGTCCGGGAAGATCCCACATGCCGCAGAGCGGCTGGGCCCGTGGGCCATGACCGCTGAGCCTGCGTGTCCGGAGCCTGTGCTCCGCAACGGGAGAGGCCACAACAGTTAGAGGCCCGCGTACCGCAAAAAAAAATTTAAAGAGCCACATGTAGCTAGTGGCCACTGTTTTGGGTGGGATAGTAGAACAGAATTGTAAGCTGGGCACACGGCCCTCCAGCTAAAGACTTCATTTCCCAGCGCCCCTTGTACTGAGGTCTGGCACTGTGTCTTGGATCTGGCCGGTGGAATGTGAGAAGTGATGTGTGCAGTGCGGTCATGCTCTTCCCTTTCCATTACCCCTTTCCACTGGTTGGAGTGAGGATAGGTGATGACCATGTAGATGCAGGCAACTCCCTAGGAATGGCTGAGCAACAATACGGAAGGAGCATAGGTCTCCTGTACCATGGAGCTACCCTATCAGCCTTGGTCCCCTACACTCTGACCATTCCACAAGAGAGAAATAAACTTCTTTCTTATTTAAGCCACGGTTATTTGGGTGTTTTTGTCAATGTGTATCTTAACTATTGCTTCCCCATTCCATCCTTGCCCTGTTATTCTCTACACCTACACCATGTTTATCTTGTTCATAGAGCTTATTATAATTTATACTTATAAATGTGTTTGCTGGTTGATTGTCTTTCCCACTGGACTTCAAGAGAGTAGGAAACGTATTATTTTGTTCACTGCTGTAGCCGAGGCCTGGCACTTATAAATATTCATTAAAATTTAGCTACATGGGGCTTCCCTGGTGGCACAGTGGTTGAGAGTCCGCCTGCCGATGCAGGGGACATGGGCTTGTGCCCCGGTCCGGGAAGATACCACATGCCGCGGAGCGGCTGGGACAGTGAGCCATGGCCTCTCAGCCTGTGCGTCCGGAGCCTGTGCTCCACGACAGGAGAGGCCACAACAGTGAGAGGCCCGTGTACCACACACACACACAAAAATTTAGCTATATGTTGAAATGAACACAGAGCTCCAGCTGCCAAGGGTAACACTTGTTCCTTTAAACTAAGCACCATATATTAAGTAAAAAATAAAATACCTTGCCACAAAAAAGTACTTTAACCCAGTGTTTTTAAGAATTTTATATTGGCTTTACCTAATTCCCTATGATTTCCTATAACTGATTAAAAACACAGGCTTTGGAAAACAGTTTTAAGACATTCATGGAACTGCTCAGTACTGAGCCCATTACTGTGCTTTGTTCTTTCTTTAGGTGAACAGAGTTTTTTTTACAGCAAACTCTCCTAAAATAGTCTACAGTCCTTGAGGTCATGGGCCACAAAAGCAGCAGTGCCATAATTCAACAGTAGTAGATCAGCCCACAGTAAACACCCTAGTTTGCTTTTCTCTTCGCTCCTGTTACCTGTCGGGGCCGTGGTGTCGGCCTTCCTGCTCTCCTGGTCCCCCTTCTGGGCCCACACGTGCACCGTGTACTCCACGCCTGGCCTCAGGCCCGTCAGGACGGCGCTGCTCTGCTCCTTCCCCACCAGGACCTCCCCGGAGTCTCCGTCAGCAGAGGTGTAGTGCACCAGGTACCTGTCAATCACGGCCTGCACCGGGTCCCAGGAGACGGTGACCGTGTTCTCTGTCACCTGGTCGGTCACTAGGTTTTTGGGGCTGTCAATGTCTGAAAGGAAAATGGGGATCAATAAACACTATTACTAGAGTGAGATCTTGTGGCCATGCTGTTTGGGCTGGGGCAGCTTCCTCTTCTTAGAATCTTCCTATCTCACATGTCAGTTTTCAGTTGTTTCATGGGTGTAGACCTCTTTCTACATCTGGACTTGTGGGTTTTCAAGGCAGCAGAACAGGACAGCAGAATGAACAGTAGGACCAGAGTCAGAAGAGCTGTGGCCCTGGACAACTCTGCTGCCCCTGGCTGGGCTTCAGTTTCTTGATCTGTAAATCTGGACTTCAGGTTGGATGGACTCCAGGGTTCCTTCAAGAACTAATGTTCCATGCATGCATCTCATTTCATAAATTACTAACTTGTTTTGTGAACTTGGGCAAGGCACTTCACTTCTCCGCATTCATAACATTGAGTTGTTAATAGTTATTGTACATATCTCTCTGAGTAGCTCTGAAAACCAAGACAAAAAATGTCATGTAGAAAGGGGCCTTGAGGGCTTCCCTGGTGGTGCAGTGGTTAAGAATCCACCTGCCAATGCAGGGAACACGGGTTCGAGCCCTGGTCCGGGAAGATCCCACATGCTGTGGAGCAAGTAAGCCTGGGCGCCACAACTACTGAGCCCGCATGCCACAACTACTGAAGCCTGCGTGCCTACAGCCCGTGCTCTGCTACAAGAGAAGCCACCGCAATGAGAAGCCTGCGCACCGCAACGAAGAGTAGCCCCCGCTCGCCGCAACTAGAGAAAGCCCGTGCACAGCAATGAAGGCCCAATGCAGCCAAAGATAAATAAATAAACAAATAAATAAGAAGAAAGGGGCCTTGAAAATATTGAAGTATCACAGTGCTTATAGGAAAAAAAAGCCGGCGGAAATAATATTAGTGTATACCCTGTAGAGATGGGTATTATGTGAGTTAATAACATGCCCCTTACGACAGCTCCTGGCAGAGTGGATGCCCAATGACCATAAGCTATTTTAAATGATATCAGTTTGTTGATATTTTATGAATGTACAGGATTATGTTCCTCCATACTACACACAGGGAAGGTGTTTGCATATGTATTCACCAAGAAAATAATAGCGTTTCTTTGTTCCACATACGGGCATACCTCATTTTACTGTGCTTCTCTTTATTATGCATCAAAGCTATTGCACTTTTTACAAATTGAGAGTTTGTGGCAACCCTGTATCCAGCAAGTCTGCTGGCACCATTCTGCATGTGCCAATAGCATTTGCTCACTTTGTGTCTCTGTGTCACATTTTGGTAATTCCCATAATATTTCAAACTTTTTCGTTATTATTTTATTTGTTATGGTAATCTGTGACCAGTGATCTTTGATGTTACTACAATTTGCTGAAGGCTTACATGATGAT